TAGTCTGCTTTAAGAGGGGTGGGCTTCAACTCCCAGAATTCCCCAGCCAGCAAAGAATTCTGACCGTTGAAATCCCTTCCATCTTAAAGTGGTAAAGAAGATTGAGACAAACTGAGTTAGATCATCATAACTGCCTAGAATTTACCGTGGCAGAAACTTCAGTCACCTAGTTACTTCCTTTGAAAAACTTCGTATGGAATGCACTTTCGATTTCCAAGTTGCTGCACTACTCCCCACTCCCTTTTGGTTGGCAACTCTAAAAAGGCCATAGAAATATTTTATGAGTTGACATTCGGCTCCCCTCACTTCTTGAAGAAATTGACTTTCAATAAATGTCTCACTTAACAAGAGAAATTTTGGGGTTCAATTGTGGTTGCAAGTCAAAGATTTATCTGTAGCATTTGGGGATTGGGGGGTCGGAGAGGATCCCTGACTGAGCCTCCTAACCCATCCATCTGTGTGATCCCTTCAGCTATGACCGGCTCACCTTCCTGCTGCCCCCCCTGAACCCCCAGTCCCAAATGGCCCAGCCGCTGGAAGACGTACCATCACGGCGACAAGACTCCATCGCGGGGCCTTTTGCCCATGGGGCCACCACCGAAGGGGCCCCGCAGCCTTCATCCTTCTGCCCTCCGGAGAAGGAAGTGGGATCTGTCCAATCCCCGGGAGCCGGGGATCTTTTCCCGGCGGGTCACCCGGCCTCCCCTGCCGAATCCAGTGGCTGCACCCCGATCCCCGACCTCAAAATTTGCAACTGGAAGAAGTCCCGCATTATCGTCCTCAATTCCACGACGCACCAGGCGGAGGACAGCTCATTGGGCGAGGCGGGACAATCCAGCCGCTCTGCAGAAGGAAGCCCCACCCCCAGGTGAGAGCTGAACCCCTGCTCCCCCTCCCCCACCGACATCATGGCAAGAGGACCTCTGAGCACGTACAGAGGGCTCCCCCCCCCACAATTTTGCACTTTTGATTTGGGTCACGGATCCCACCAGCTGGAGAAGGGATATTAGGAAGGGTCGTTCCCAAAGTTCAGATGGGAGCAGCGTGGGCTTCGAAAATTTAGCCCCCCGGTTCTCTGCCTGGTTGCTGAGTGGGTGTGGCCATGGTGGGCGTGGCTTATTCGTCCTCCTGCACCACAGCGGAGGGGGCATTTTCGCCCTCCCCGGGCTCCCGAGGCCTTCCTTGAGCCTTCCGGTTCGCCAAACTGGCCCTAAAATTAAAAACCGGTTAATTAGAACCAGTTCAAACTGGTAGCAGCCCATCCCTGGATGGATGGATAGATAGATAGATAGATAGATAGATAGATAGATAGATAGATAGATGTGGGATTTGCTGGTTCATCGAACTGACCATAAAACGGCCCATAAAAGTAGCAACCGGTTCGCCTGAACCGGGGCGAACCGGTTAGCAGCCCTCCCCACCCCTGAGTGTAAGTGTCATAGTTGGAGGGTAGCCCCTCCTTGACATGTGCAGAGTGCCACTCCTTTCTTTCCCTGCTCGGGGTCCTCGTTTTGGAGTTTGGGGCTTTGCAGGGGCCAAGAAGTTTGGGGGTACATTAAATTAGGGGTCGTGCCTCTTTGGGGTTAAGAGGTGGGGGAGGGACCAACTGGGAAGGGTGCCATTGGGGTACTTAGGGGCCCAGCGGGGCCCAGTCGAGCTTGGGACCTGGGATCTGGACTGGGCTGACCCCCCCCGTCCTCTCCCCCCCCCCCACAGGAGGCCTCTGGCTGACCGCCAGTGCTCCATTTGCAACCTGGCGCCCATAAAACTCTCTTCTCAGCCCGCACAAAGAGGAGACGGCTGCAGTTCCGGTGAGTCGGGGACATGGGGGGGAAAGAGGGGGGTGTCTAAGTGGGGGGAGGGGATTTCTGCCCCACTTTCTGGAGGTCAGAGGGCCCCCCCGCCTACATCGGGGTGGGGGGCAGGCTGCCCAGAGAGAAGGACCCCCTCCCGGCCGTAAATGCCAGGAAACAAAAGACTTCGTTGTGAACCATTTTTTTTTTTTTAGTGCCATTGTAACGTTGAACAATAGCTAAACAAATAGCCATGTCCACCTGTGTTTGTGCCTGGCCCTAGCCAGCCTGTAACATAAAAATGAGAGTTTTGGAGGCATGTGCAGAGGGCCTAGGTCTCTTCCCCACCCCCACCCCAAAAAATTGTTGGGCTGATGCCAAAAGCGTTTGCATCTAGGAAAATATTAAAATAGAGATACATGATTCATGATAGATAGATAGATAGATAGATAGATAGATAGATAGATAGATAGATGGATGGATGGATGGATGGATGGATGGATGGATGGATGGATGGAT